AACTTACGTACACGTCTCCATGACTTTTTAGTTATCTTGACCAATCTTTCTTGTCATGACTTGTACAAAATGAGAAATGAAAAATAGAAGCTAATAACTAGTTACACAAGAAATCAACAAAACTTTATATATACCGCTGCAATAATCGCACAAAGCCATCCAAATAGTGTTTATTATAATAGGAACGAAACATGCACATTAATGAGGAGATAATATATGATCTGATGGCAATGTTGCTAAAATCGACACAGGAATTTTCAGAGTTACACAAGGCAACTACCTACGAAACCAGTAAACACCGCTATTCTCCGCACCTTCATCTGGTTCCACAAAAATGCATTCCTTTGTTTCCCTCCAGAAAGCCTTTAGGATCGGTGTATCATCATATTTGTAGTAGTCACCTAAGATGGGCTTGATGGCATTGGTGGCCTCTACTGTATGGTAATGTGGAATAGTTGAGATCAAATGATGCACCACATGAGCACAAGTTACATCATGGAAAACTGTGTTTAGAATTCCGTAGTTTCTATCAACCGTGGATAGAGCACCTCTAATCCAATCCCACTCTCTTGAATCGTAGTGAGCAAGGGAAGGATGGCTATGATGGAGAAAAGTGAAGAAGATGAAATGAGCGTTCATAACCAACAAAGGAGCTCCGTAGATGCAAAACAACCATGTTGCACTTGTGTTTGCTGCAACCTTGTAAAGTGCATAGATAGCTACAAGCATTCCAGCATCAGAGAGCCAAACTAGTTTGCGCTCGCTGTCATTGAACAACGGACTTTGTGGGTAAAAGTGGCTTACAAACCCATTATATGGCCTTCCATGAATATTGAAGGTGAAGTACATGGGAAAGCTGAGAAGTAACCGGACAAAAGTCATGAACAAGTTGCCGAGTGGGTTGTTGAGAATTTCAGAGTAGAAGGTATCAGCCTTTCTTTTGGGGATCCATACCTCATCGTATTCCATTGAATTGGTGTGAGCATGGTGGCTACGGTGACTGTATTTGAAAGAAAAATATGGAGTAAGGAAAGAGGAATGGACGACGAAACCAAGTGCATCATCAAGCCATTGATAATCGCTAAAGCTGTGATGTCCCAAATCGTGACCTATGCTCCATATACCCATAAAACTACTACCTTGGCAGAACCAATAAATTGGCCATGCTACGTAGGCAAGGGGTTTTGGGAGGAGGGGAATGTAATTTGATCCGAGGTGATAAAAAGTATAGCATATGCAAATATCACGGAATAGGTAGTAGAAAGAGGTTGTAAGAGATCGCTTGAAGCAATGTGGTGGTATTGCTTTCTTGAGATCACTAATCTCGAAAGGAGTTTTTTCGGTGGGAACACGTTTGAGAACATTTTTGTCCGTGGTAGCATCATTCATGCGACCACCAGCTCCCATCTTAACGTCTTCAGAGAAAAGAACCTGCAAAACAAGAGATTAATCTGCTGTCAAGAATTCATTTGAAAGCATGAAGAAGTTTGAAGTATGGTTTCTGAAAGATCAAATAGATACCTCTACGAGATGCTTTGATCTTTTGGTGTGCTTCTAAGTTTATCAAATTCAACAAATGCAGGGTCCATTTTATACGGATATTTCTGGTGAACTAATTTGTTTTGTTTTTTACTTGTAACTAAGTGAGGTTCCTCTGGCTCCATTATTTGCAAAGTCCTGGTCAACCCATGTTTGCTAACTACCAATCTCTTGAACTTATATGACCATTTGTTTATATTTTACAAGTTCCGGAGAAAAAAATCACCAATTAATTTGAACGGATTTTTTTTAGAAAAAAACATTTCATGTCTTAAAATATTTGGTGATATTTTATTTAAAAAAACTGATTATCTGGTTTAACATTTTATTTTGAAAAAATTAGTGTAGCTCAAGTTATAGTCTTTACTAGTAAGCGTCTAATGGTTAAATCTCATATTTGTCTCATATCGGTTTTATCTCTTATTCATGGACTCAAACTGTGGGACTCTAAGTGGTTTTATATATGTAATGCTTAGTTGCAAACTTGAATTTTAAGAGATTCAGAAAACATGAGTTAAATTTTTATTATATATTAGTATGAATAAAATCTCACGTATGAACATCTTAGTGATCGAAATTTTAAAAAATACGGTTAAAAACTATATCAAAACGGGTATCAAATTACAGAAAAAAGTACTTATTTCTGGATAACTTATTTAACTATAAAATTAATTATAGTTAAAAATAATTTAAATATTAAAATAGTAAGGTAAATCTATGTGATTTCCAAAACTTCATTTGTCATTTGACATTTGAGAAAGGCATAATAGGTTTTCAAAAACCCTACAAACTTTCATTCTTATTGTTTTTAATAAAAAATTAATATTTCTATTATAGAATATATAAAAAGATATGCATTATTGATCTATATTTAATTCTTTAATAACTGTAATTAACATTAACAAAACTCAAATATATTACGATAATATATAATTATGTTGTAGAGTATGCATATAAACTCGTTCAGTCTCCTTCCACATGGTAGAAACAATAAGAATAATACTACCGTCAATGTTGGAGGCCATCTTCTTGGTTTCAAAAAACAAAACAATGATCATATTGAGACACCTTGTCACCAAACGCTATTTTGTCTTCTTTTACTTTCTTTCTTTCTATGTACTTTTGATAAAATCTTCATCCATATTTTTTTTATTAATCTGGATATCCAACCTAGTGCGACCACCTGCTTTGCAGATAGTTCGGAGTCACCGCATTTGAACCTCCATGGCCATAAAGAGATTTTTATTCATCATTGGATTTGAATATAAGACCTCCTACTTTTAACCTTTGGAATCAAGCTCAAACCAATCAGACCACCACCCTTGTGGTTATTCATACTTTTTTTATAATTACCTAATTGAGTTAAAACGTTTTTAGTTATATTTGATGTGGAACGAATAAAGAAACTCTATATATGCACGAAATGTTTATTACGGGCCGGACACGATGACAAACAACCTACAACAGTTTAGCCTGACTCTCGATACAAAATCCTTATAATAATGATTCTCAAAATCGAGTTTACAGTTTTTTTTTTTAATTTTAGATTTTTATGCATTATCATATTTTATTTGCGGGTTTAATTATTTAGCAATTAATCAATTAGCTTTATTTGCGGGTTTTTTATTCCTATATTTTGCTATTTGTCAAAAATACATCCATCATCTTCATTCCATTTCTATTATTTAATTAAATTTAATAGGTATAATTAATTTCTCTATCTCATAATAGATCATTGTTATTTTTATTTCTTTTTATTCAAAAATTAATAAAAAAATAAATGTAAAATGTTATATCTATTTTGACTATTAACTTTTTTTAGTTTTAAATAAGGAAAAAAGAGCTTTATGTTATCTTTTCACACTACTAAAAAATCTGGTTTTTCCGACGCAAAATCCGTCGGAAAAACAACTTTCCGACGGATTTCCGACGGATTTTGCCGTCGGAAAAACCCCCGCCGGTAAATGCAATTTCCGACGGAATTTCTGACGGATTTGTATTTTCCGACGAAAAAATCCGTCGAGCAACTTTATAATATGTTATTCATTACCTGGGTTAATTAGAAGTAATATAAAATGAGATTAGAATTACCGACGGATTTTGCCGTCAGAAATCCGTCACAAATCCGTTGAAAAACCTTTTTTAAATAATTTTAATTTTTTTTCCAAAAAATTCAGTGGGAGGTTTGTGGTGGATATGGATAAAAGTTGACTTTGTTTGGCTTTCTTGGGATCCGTCGGAAATCTGTCGGGAATATTTCCGACGGAATTTCCGTCAGAAAAATCCGTCGGTGATATATATATTTTTTTAATAGTGTCATATCTGTGGGAGATTCAATGGTTTCATCACAATTTAAACCATAATATTTTACATTTATTAGTAAAACAAAGTAGTTATAGTTGTAGGCATTACATGAATATAATTATTAGTAAATATATATGGAAGGTGAAGGGATGAGGAATAATGAATGCGCCACCGAACTTGAATATAAAATCATATAAACGTACAAAAGACTAGTAGTTAAAATGACATCGCAAATCTGGTTTGGAACGTCTCTCCTGACTATTTATTTACTCCCAATTTTCTTTTACTTCACAACCACATGATTAGTGGAAACGATACTACAAGATTAATCATCATGTTATCTCGTCAAATTACAACAATAATATTGAGTTCATGTGTCTTACAACATCTTCAACAATCCGGCAAAACTTCAATTTTGCTAGTGATTCTTTTTCAACGACCGTCAAAATCTGGTGATTTTTGCTAGGTCTTCAAATTGAATGGCAACAAAATCCTAGACCCAAAAATTTGGTGCTTTTAAAGTGTGGTTGAAGTTGAGATGTTAATGGGCTTACTATTTTTAGTGTTTTTTTATGTTTCTTTTATAAGATTTAAATTTATAAGACCAAAAAATTAAGCATCAAATTTAAAAGTGTTACGATACGCTTATAAGATGTTTTTAGGCATGGTAACAAGTTTTTTAGAAGATTTTTTTATAAATAAAATGTGGTATTGGCTATATTATATGAAACTATTTGAAAAAATTATTCTATAAAACCAAGTGTCTTATAAAAAGAGAAGTTTTTAGAACAATCTCAAAAATATCCGATAAAACAGCTAAACACTTGTGTTTATAAAACATTTTTAAAATGAATTTTCTGCTACCTCTTCATTAGATCTATGAGCTAATTCAGATCCTTGTGTCATGTTCAATCGTAAGCTTCCAATCAATTTTTATAAAAATGAACCAAACACATCAAAATTGATTATCATTTCATCAATCGAAAGATGGTTGTAGAAGACATTTGCATGCCACATTAATCAAGGGCCAGAGTATTAAGGGGCTAAAACTGTTTAATTATCAAGTTACGCAAATTCATGGTGCCTGATAATTCATACCTTCTTGTTTTTATTCAGTTCCATTATTCTTACTATAAGTATATAAAGATTCATGAAACTGGATCAAGGGTGATTATGATAGATATGGCGTTAAACCAACCAGTACAAGTAGAATAGAAGTATAATGAAACAGGTTGTAGAAGAAATCCACATCACCATACATCAGTACTAAATAGGGGATAAGACATCAAACACATACATAAGAAGGTAGGACTGCAAGTCTTGGCACAACATTTATATATTGTGACTTCTTGGAAAAATAGAAAACATTCTTAGTTATCAAGTCTATTTACGGAACCAGTAAACACCACTTTGTTCTGCACCTTCATCCGGTTCGACATAAATGCAGTCCTTTGTTTCTCTCCAGAAAGCCTTTAGGATAGGGGTATCATCATATTTGTAGTAGTCACCTAAGATGGGCTTGACAGCCTTTGTCGCCTCTACGGTATGATAATGTGGAATAGTTGATATCAAATGGTGGAGAACATGAGCACAAGTTACATCATGAAAGACATGGTTCAAGATTCCGTAGTCTCTATCAACTGTCGACATAGCACCTCTTAGCCAATCCCATTCTCTTGAATCGAAGTGAGCAAGAGAAGGATGACTATGATGCAGAAACGTGAAGAAGATGAAATGAGCATTCATCACCAATAAAGGTGCGCCATAGATGCAAAACAACCATGTTGCACCTGTGGTTGCTGCAATCTGGTAAAGTGCGTAGATAGCTACAAGCATTCCAGCATTAGAGAGCCATACTAGTTTGCGCTCACTGTCATTGAACAACGGACTTTGTGGGTAAAAGTGACTTACAAACCCATCGTATGGCCTTCCATGAATATTGAAGGTGAAGTACATGGGGAAGCTGAGAAGTAACCTAACGAAAGTCATGAACAAGTTGCCRAGTGGGTTGTTGAGAATTTCAGARTAVAAGGTATCRGCCTTYCTTTTGGGGATCCATACCTCATCGTATTCCATTGARTTGGTGTGWGCATGGTGGCTACGRTGACTRTATTTGAAAGAAAARTATGGAGTGAGGAAAGAGGAGTGGACTACGAAACCAATTGCATCATCAAGCCACTGATAATCGCTGAAGCTATGGTGGCCCAAATCGTGACCTATGCTCCATATACCCATAAAACTACTACCTTGGCAGAACCAATAAATTGGCCATGCTACGTAGGCAAGGGGTTTAGGTAGAAGAGGAATGTAATTTGATGCGAGTTGGTAAAAGGTAAAGCAAATGGCGATGTCGCCGAAAAGGTAGTACAAAGATCGTGAGAGATCTCGTTTGAAACAGTGTTGTGGTATTGCTTTCTTGAGATCACTAATCTCGAATGGAGGTTTTTTGACGGGAACACGTTTTAGAACATTTTTGTCGGTGGTAGCATCGTTCATCCGGCCACCCGCTCCCATCTTACGGTGCTCAAGGAAAGACCTGCAAAAGAAGAAATCAATAAGTTTGTATGCATGAATTCTTGCGAAGCATAAAATAGTTGGGACATATATGATCTCAAAGACCAAATAGATACCTGAAAGAGAGGGGTTCAGCTTTGCTGCTGCTTTGTTGTGAACTAAGGGGTAGGGTATATTTTATAGTAGGGGTTTGGGTGCTTAAATGTTTTATTTAGAATTTTAAATCCGATTCTACTAACCATTGGTCTGTTCGCTTGTGGTGGGTTACATTATTTGCTGTGTCTGGTCAAGGCACTAATAGTAATAACTACCAACTTTTTGGATGTATACATATCACCATTTGCGTTAAGAAAAAAATGGTAAAAACCTAATATATTTTGAAAATGGATATGTAAATCCACATCACATTATTCATATAAGTTATAATATATATATATTTCAAATAATTTTTTTATAATACACTTTTTTTTACCTCCTATGACATTAGTGTCGTTATTTAAACCTCTCAAAATATATACACAATATTTCTATCGTATTATAAATTAATTGACAAAAAAACTTATATATACTAACGGATAAACTCGATTAAGTACTATGAATTGATTAATCATTTAAAATTCAAGTTTAGAACTTATTATTACTTATACATCTAATTTTTTTAAGCAACATGTTTTCAATTCACTACTAAAAAAAAGGGTATAATCGACGGATTTTTCTGGCGGAATTTCCGTCGGAAATATTCCCGACGGATCCTAAAAATGTCAAAAAAAGTCAACTTTTATCCATATCCGTCACAGATCCCCACAAATCCCCCACTAAATTTTTTGGAAAAAAATTAAAATGGTTTTTCAACGGATTTGTGACGGATTTTTTACTTATTCAAAACCGTCACAAATCCGTCGGAAATCCGTCGCAAAATTTGCCTAATTTATTTAAATAAATTAATTAGCGTTAATTACAAACAATTTCCGACGGATTTCCGACGGAATTTAATTTAAAAAAAAAACAAATTGAATTTCCGACGGAATTTAATTTTTTATTCTTTGATGTTTATTTATTTCATTTATACTTCTTATTAGAAATTTTAATGTTTTATTGTATTTGTAGTTAATTAACAACTTACAATCCCAAATTGAAGAAATGCGCACTCGAGATGAGATCTGACATAAGGAGGTTGAGGATCTTATTCGCAGAAATGATTCGACATAAGGAGGTTGAGGAACTTCTTCGCCTAGAAGAGATCCGAAATAGGGAAAATGAGATCCGAAACTGAAGAAAGAGTATGCAGACATGATGGATATGATGAAGAGGTTTACACAATCTCAACAGTTTACGCCTACCCCGCCGCAATAGATTTAATATAGTGCATTAATGAACTAGCGTCATCAATCGAATTTATATATGTATATTATTTCGTCCGGATAATCATATTAGGTATTTATGACGTATTTGTGTATTGTATATTTGTATTTAATTACAGGATATTTATATTTTAGGATTTTATATTTTGGTATTTTGGTTTTTTTTTCCTGTACCAGCTAAATTTCCGACTGATTTTTGGCGGAAAATCCGTCGGTAAATAATTAGATATAAATTTTATTTAAAAAATTTCCGACGGATTTTCCGACAGATTTCCGACGGAAAAATCTGTCGGTAAATATTTTTCGTCCATTAAAAATAAAAATATTTTCATATTTTAAATTAGAAAAAAAAAATTTAAATATAATTACCGACGGAATTTCCGTCGGAAATCCGTCGGACAAAATGCTATTTTTATTTTTGAAATAAAAACTGGTTAATATTTTTGAAGAAAATAGAAAAAGTTTACCGACGGAATTTCCGTCGGTAAATCTAATTCCATTTTAGATTACTTCTAATTAACCCGGACAATTACTAACATATTATAAAATTGCACGACGGATTTCCGACGGACATATTCGTCGGAAAATACAAATCCGTCGGAAATTCCGTCGGAAAATGCATTTAGCGGCGGGGGTTTTTCCGACGGCAAAATCCGTCGGAAATCCGTCGGAAAGTTGTTTTTCCGACGAATTTTCGACGGATTTTGCCGTCGGAAAAACCCGATTTTTTAGTAGTGACTTCATAAACTAACCGACAAATTCAATTGAATATTGGATGCGTTTGATATATATATATAGAGGGTGGTTCAAATACTAACCCAATATTTTGTCCAAACTTTGCTAACCCACATCAACCAATAATGTTGCATMTTTRGGTTTGGTTAAAATGTAACTTACATATTAATGATAAGGGTATTTAGGTCATTAGTCATTCTTATGTAACTCCCAAATATTTTAATTGGGAGTTACAAATCCTAC